CCCCTGGGTGCCGCTAGGACCGAGCTCTTCTGCACGAAACCCAAAAACCCAGAATTCCTGGCTCACCATGAATAGTAATTTGCCTGAATCCCACACAGAAGGGCCACAATGATGCCAGCCGCATTTTTTCAGTTCGATGCCAGTGCCATCGGTGTTGTGTTTTCAGTTCGGGGCGCTGTTCCCCTTTTGATCTCATTGATTCTGCTTCAGATGCGTTGGGCATTGCGTCCGCGTCTTGGCCTGGCGCCAATAAAGGAGCCACAGCCAGGCGCTGCGCAAACACCAAGGAGCCCAACTCGAGGGGGAACCCTCCGCTGCCAGGTTTGACAGACATGAACTAACACAAAACGACATACCACTGCCACATATGCCGATCAGTTGGGGTGGTGTCCTATGGCAGTCCCAGACAGGTCGTGCCTGCGTATGGGACTAGGAGTTGGAACCGCCGTGTTTTCGATGGCACAATCCCCCTTCTGGTGTGTAGATCTGCCAGGGGAAAAGACATATGAACACTAGGATTCCAGTCAATATGTTGATTTAATAGCCTTTTACGGAACAACAATTCTTTTACTGAAGGATTTTACGCTACAAAACCGGCTCAACCATTTTAAAACTGGTATGTGATTATCATTCTCATTCCCCCATACCCATTCTGGGCTCACATCCACCAAGTCCTGCCATTCTGAAAAGTCAGAGCGTCATGTAGCGCAGGGTGTATTTTATGCTGTCACATGGTTCAATCGCATCGATCCGTCCGGGTGACTTGTCACGAACAAAACGCTCTTCTACACAATCAGCTATGGCCCAGTCACGTCTGTCACGCCATGCCGCCAGTATGTGTATGTGTACCCATTGAATTTTTCTTGCGCTAACAGCGGACGTGTTGCAACCTCCATGTTGCAGCCTCCATGCCTCTCAGGGGCCTCCTCCACTCCACGACATGCAGCATATAGATGTCAATCAAGGAGGTCGTCTTAAAGGGTATCAAAAAACTGACATCTTTGTCCAAGACCTTCCAAGTCCGGTGGTGGTGAACCCGGGACGCCGACCACAGCTAATTAGGTCTAGGTGATGTTGTTTCTGGGCACGTCGTGTCACCACCGTCCGTCACCACGGGTTCCTCTCTGGGACCGAGGGAGAGTGGGACTGGGATGATATGGTTCCCGACTCTTGGTGATATGGTTCATGACTCTCGTGTTCCCAGATCACCAAGAATGCAAGAGAAAGGATGGCGCTCAAACCCGTTTGGCCTCGATTCGTACCTTCTGAGAACCATGAGGTTCCAAATACCTTCTTAGGAGGTACTTGGAGGATCTTGGAGGTGTAGGGAAAACACAATCTTTCTTCCATCTCATGGCCTACAACGTCACCCTCACACTAAGATAAGGTTTCATCCAGTATCAGAATCCACGAGGAAAGGGATGAGGGAAACGCACGGCGGCTGAGTCAGCAAAATCACTTGAAATGTTTGAACACTTGTTGAAACTCTCGCGCAAAACTGTCAGCTGCAAAGCGGCGGGGGGAGGAGTTTTGGGGAGTATCACGCAAGAACCATGGAATCAAAAAACACAGCGGCAGGGCGGACCAGTGTGTCATTGTGTTCGAGGCAGGTACACAGATTGGCATCCCAATCTGAATCACGGAATGTCCACAGCTGTCTTTGTTGGCAGCAGAACTGTGGATTCCCTGCTGCCCCCGGCTTGCTCGAAAGTGAAAGATAAACCTCCTAGAAACGGATGGGGGACACACACAGCGCCGCATAGCGGCGCTCACTCCGGCAAAAAACCTGAATAGCCACCTGACTTAGAAAGAAAAAGGAAAGAAAGAGCAAAACGAAGAGGGCAAGAGAGAAAGATAGGTGTAGGGCCGTGCATGCCTGCCGAGCGCACGGCAAATTACGGGTTCAAGATCCAAATAGCGACCTGAAAAGCCTTAGAAAGAAAAGAAAAACAGAAAGAGCAAAAAGAAGAGGGCAGGAGAGAAAAATAGGTGTAGGTTTCGGTGATGGGCTGGCTGCGTGTGGGTTCTGAGGGTACAGGTGGAGGGCGTTTGGAACAACGTGGGGGGGGTGTCAAGGGAGGAGGTAGAGGGTGCGCTCACCTTGCTGTGGTTCAGGCAACATTGGAAGCGAGGAGGTTGTTGGAAATGTGGATCGACGTGTTGGGTGCGTCAAAGGAAGAGGTAGTGTAGCTGTTCGGTGGCAGTTTGCAAGGTAGCGCTGAGCTGGGACAGTAAAGTGGCTGTCTGCCGCATCAGTTGTTGGAGATCAGGGTTCTGCATCGGGTGTTGGAGCAGCGCAGGCGGCGGCAGGCAATCAGCGCTCGAAAATCACGGAACGGAGAACCGTGCAATGAGTAGACCGCGAAACATGCAGATGAATTACGTGGAGCCAAGTGCATCAGTGCAAAAGTGGGAATCCTGAAAAACATGTATAAACTACAACGGTTGCGAACTCAATCAGGCTAGAAAACGACAGTGAGTAAAATCGTCAGTGGTCCTCTTGTGGTGCAGCAGCTGCAGGGTTGGCGATGAATTGGCTGTTCAGGTGTCAGGTGGGGTAGTGTCGGAGGCCCAGGCAATGCCCTTGGTGGATGACCCAACACTTGCCGCGAGCGTGGTGAACGAACATGCAGCGCCGTGGTGTTGGTGGAGTAGTTCGCTGGCATGAGCCTCACCACCATAAATATACTTGAGGCCGGTACCCCTAGCAAGGAGGGTAGTCATCACTGAGAGTCCCAGCCGCCGGTGGTGGTGGTGTGAGGATTGGGAACAAGAGTCGCCAGCGGTGACGAGGTGTGTTGGGGGTTGGGCTGACTGCGCGGCAGTCGCGCGAGTCTGATCGGGGTGTAGGGGGGATGTAGGGGGTGTGTATAGTGTGGTCAGCGTGTGTGCGGCGGCGTCTGTGGCGCCGTCAGCGAGTGGATTCAGCAATTACCAGAATCCATGAGGAAATGAATGAGGGAACGGAAAGGCGCAAGGTCCGCGCAATTGATGTGTTGTACGTTAGTTTTGAGTGAAACGAAAGCTCTGGCAGAAAGCGGCGGTGGCTCGGCTGGCGCGGCTGGCTGCAATTCACAAGCGGCTGAAAGCTGCGGTGGGAAACCTGTTTGTGGGGAAGGTATCGTGCGAAACCACCATGAATCAAAACGAGCGGATTGGACAGCTTGTACAAAAGTTTTCGCAGGTACACACGGGTGATCAATCCGTGCTTCCCACTCCAAGGCATAGCTTCGTTGCACTGAGTTTGCCAAGGAGTGCTCAGTGCCCCTGCTTGTGTTCCAGAATTGGACGTGAGTAACCCTTTGAGACAGGGGGTGACACACACACACCAAAAAAAAGAAGAAACGTACGGTTACCGTGGAACCTCCGGTTTTTCTTCAGACTTCGGAGACCAAAAGGACGTTCCCTCGCCCCTCTCCAACGCCGTTTCGCGCACGCACGTGTTTCACGCGCAGACTCACCCAGACGCACCCGTGGCACCTTGCGGGCGACGTGAATCGCAGCGAGTGCGACCGTCGGAATCCGCAGCAAAAGCACCACGAGCAGCTGGAGGATCCTGGATTTCCACATCGGACAGTGCGGACCGTGCGGACAGCGAGCGGTTTCTTTCTGGTCAGTTCTGCGGGGCCGGAAGTGCGCAGTGCGCAGAGTGTGGACTGTGGCGCAGCAGGGTGGGCTGGAGATCCTGACTGGGATGAAGCGTTTGACCCAAAAACAAGACATCCCTTTGGAGGCCATCGCTATTAGGTTGGAGGAAACCACTAGTAGCAGGTTGAAGCCCATCTCTCTTGGAGGCCATCCCTCTTATACGTTGGAAGCCACCGCTGTTAGGTTGGAGGCCATCACTAGCAGGTTGGAGGCCATCACTATATTTCAGGAGGCCATGGCTATTAGGTTGGAGGCCATCGCTACAAGGTTGGAGGCCATCGCCGCAAGGTTGGAGGCCATCATCGCTATTAGGTTGGTCGCTGTTAGGTTGGAGGCCATCGCTGTTAGGTTGGAGGCCATCGCAAATTGGGTTGGAGGCCATCCCTGTTAGGTTGGAGGCCATTGCTATTAGGTTGGAGGCCATCGCTGTTAGGTTGGAGGCCATCGCTATTAGGTTGGAGGCCATCGCGCTAGAGGCCATCGCTATTAGGTTGGAGGCCATCGCAGTTAGGTTGGAGGCCATCGCTATTAGGTTGGAGGCCAACGCTGTTGGGTTGGAGGCCATCGCTGTTATAGGTTGGAGGCCATCGCTATTGGGTTGGAGGCCAACGCTGCTGGGTTGGAGGCCATCGCTGTTAGGTTGGAGACCATCGCTGTTACGTTGGAGGCCATCGCTATTACGTTGGAGGCCATCGCTATTAGGTTGGAGGCCATCGCTGTTAGGTTGGCGGCTATCGCTGTTAGGTTGGAGGCCATCGCTATTGGGTTGGAGGCTATCGCTGTTAGGTTGGAGGCCATCGCTGTTAGGTTGGAGGCCATCGCTGTTAGGTTGGAGGCCATCGCTGTTAGGTTGGAGGCCATCGCTGTTAGGTTGGAGGCCATGGCTATTAGGTTGGAGGCCATGGCTATTAGG